GTGTGTCAGCCTGGCTCGGTTGGTAGTGCTTTTGCTTCTGAATCAAAAGGTTGTGGGTTCAAACCTTACTTTGCGACTCACTTTAAACTCATATACTCCAAGCTGACACTCCCCCTCCACTGCTGGGGGTATATCGGCTACTACCCCCTCACTTCTGGAACTCCATCCCTGGAATCATAGAAGGAGGCCATTCGGCCCATTGTGTCTGTGCCGGCTCTTTGAAACAAGCTATCCAAATCAATCCCACTCTTCGTTCTCCCCATAGCCCTGCAAACTTGTCCTACCCAAATAATGATCTGTTTCTCTTTTAAAAAGCTTTTACCGAATTGGCTTCCACCACCCTTTCAGGCAATGCATTCCAGATCCTAACAACTCACTGTGTGAAAAAAATTCTCTTCACCTCCCCTCTGTTTCTTTTAACAACTATTTTAAATTGGTGCTCTCGGGTTACCGACCCACCCACCCGCCAGCAGAAATAATTTCTCCTTGTTCACCCTGTCGAATCCCCTCATAATTTTGAAAACGTTTGTTAAGTCTTCTCTTAACCTTCTCTGCTCCAGCTGAATAATCCCAGCTTCTCTAGACGCTCCTGATAACTGAAGTCTCTCATTCTTGGTACCATCCTGGTAAATCTCCGTTGCACCCTCTCCAATGCCTTGACATCCTTCCTAAAGTGTGGTGCCCAGAACTGAACACAGTACTGTACTCGATACGGTCGACCACGCTATCCTACTCCACCGCTTGTCCTCCCACCTCAACCTTCAAGGCACTGTCCTTGAATGGTTTAGGTCGTACCTTTCTCACCGTCTTCACTTCGTCTCGACGAATGGCTTCTCCTCCACCCCCCGCACTGTCTCATGTGGTGTCCCTCAGGGCTCTGTCCTTGGTCCCCTCCTCTTCACCCTCTATATGCTCCCCCTCGGTGACATCATCCGCAGACATGGAGTTAACTTCCACATGTATGCGGATGACACCCAACTCTACCTTTCCTCCTCTACTCTCAACTCCACGACCACCGATGTCCTGACAGCTGCCTGTCCGACATCGAGTCCTGGACGAGAGACAACTTTCTTCAGCTCAACGTGCGAAAAACCGAGGCCCTCCTGATTGGCTCACGTCAGCGCCTCCGCACCTCAGGCGCTGACACCATCAGCATCCAAGGCTGCACTCTCCACCTCTCAAAGCCAGTCAGGAACCTCGGCGTTTTGTTCGACCCTGAGTTGTCCTTTCTCCCTCACATCCGCACCACAACTGGCACCGCCTTCCATCACCTCCGGAACATCGCCAGACTACGGCATTACCTCACCCCTCACGCTGCTGAAACCCTGGTTCATGCCTTTGTCACCTCAAGGCTGGACTATGGGAACTCTCTCCTCGCCGGCCTTCCCGCCACCTCCCTCCACAAGCTGCAGGTCATTCAGAACTCTGCAGCTCGTGTACTGTCCCGCACCAGGCTTCGGGACCACATCACTCCCACCCTCGCTCGCCTCCACTGGCTCCCCATCCCCCAGAGGATTGATTTCAAGATCCTCATCCTCACCTACAAGGCCATTCACGGCCTTGCTCCCTCCTACCTCTCCAACCTACTATCCCCCTACCTACCTGCCCGTACCCTCCGTTCCTCTGGCTCCGGTCTGCTCCACGTCCCCCGCCCCAACCGCCCTACCATCGGTGGTCGGGCCTTCAGCCTCTCAGCCCCGAGGCTCTGGAACTCCATCCCCCAGTGCCTTCGCCTTGCTTCCTCCCTTTCCTCCTTCAAGGCCGGTCTCAAAACCTTTCTCTTTGACCGTGCCTTCAGCTCCCCTCTCGACTCTCTTCCCCCTCCTCGCTCCCTCCCTTCCCTCCCCTCACCCTGACCATTTCCCCCTCCTCGCTCCCTCCCTTCCCTCACCCTGACCATTTCCCCCCTGCTCGGGTCATGACCCAACTGTGCAGCGCCTTGGGATGTCCTCCTGACGTGAAAGGCGCTTTATAAATGGAATCTTGTTGTTGTTGTTGTACTGTAGCTGAGGCCTAACCAGTGTTTTATAACGGTTCATCATAACTTCCTGACTTTTGTATTCTATGCCCCTATTTATAAAGCCTAGTATCCCATATGCTTTTGTTAACAGCCTTATCTACTGGTCCTGCCACCTTCAAATATTTGCTTATATGAACCCAGGTCTCTCTGTTCCTTCACCCCCTTTAAGATTGTACCATCAGCTTATATTGCCTCTCCTCAATCTTCCTTCCAAAATGCACCACTTCACATTTCTCCACATTAAACTTCATCTGCCACGTGTCTGCCCATTTTATGAGTCTATCTATGTCCATTTGCAGTCTGCTACTGTCCTCCTCACTGTTTACTACTTTTCGTAGATTAGTATCATCTGCAACCTTGGAAATTGTACTCCCTATACCCAAGTCTAGGTCATTTATACAGATCAAAAACAGCAATGGTCCCAATACCAACCCCTGCGGGACACCACTGCAAACTTCGCTCCAGTCAGAAAAACAACCGTTCACCACTGCTCTCTGCTTTCTGTTTCCCAGCCAGTTCTGTATCCATTTTGCCACTATGGGCTTCTATTTTGCTTACAAGTCTTTTATGTGGCACTTTATTAAATGCCTTTTGAAAATCCATATAAACTACATTGACTGCACTACCTTCATCCACCCTTTCTGTGACTTCATCAAAAAACTCTATCAGGTTTGTTAGATACGATTTACCTTTAACAAATCCGTATTAGCTGTCTTTTATTAACCCTTATTTTGTAAATGAAAATTTATTTTGCTCCCGATTACAGTCTCAAGAAGTTTCCCCATCACCATCGTTAGGCTGACTGGCCTGTAGTTCCTGGGTTTATCGTTCTGTCCCTTCTTGTACAGGGGAATAACATTTGCAACCCTCCAGTCCTCTGGCACCACCCCAATATTCAAGGAAGATTGAAAGAGTGTGGCCAAAGCCTCCGCTATTTATACCTTTAATAATAATAATCCTTGCATCTTATATAGCTCTTTTCACGTCTTCCAGATGTGTCAAGGAGCTTCACAGAATATACTGTAAAATGAATTGACTGTATATTTGTGGACGATTGTGTGACTTCCCTCAGTAACCTATGATTGTATTCCGTCCGGACCGGGCGACTTATCAACCTTGAGCACCGTCAACCTTTTTAGTACCCCCTGTTGGTTTATTCTTATCTTATCCAATTTCTCTACCCTCTCTTCCAATACTATAGCATTGGCTGCATCCTCTTCTTTTGTGAAGATCGATGCAAAGTACTCATTCGGTACGTCAGTCATGCCCTCTGCCTCCACAAGAAGATTTCCTCTTTGGTCCCTGATTGGCCCCACCCTACCTTTGACTAACCTTCTATTTTATATGCTTATAGAATAGCTTAGGGTTCCCTTTTATGTTACCCGCTAATATTTTCTCATACAATCTCTTTGCCCCTTTTATTTCCTTTTCAGTTCTCCTCTGTACTTTCTATTTTCTATTTGATTATCTTCTGTATTTTGGACCTGACATTTATCATAAGCCTCCTTTTTCTGTTTTACTTGAATCCCAGTTTCCGTAGTCATCCAGGGAGGTTTTATTTTGTTTTCTGTATCCCTCTGTATCAGACAGAAAGATTCCATGATGGAATTCCAGCAGGTGAGGGTTTTATTGGAGAGAGAGTAGACATTTTGTGGGGCAATGCGGAGAGGACAGACTGCAGAAGAATCTGCAGAATTGGAGTGGGGGGGATTGTCAGGACGGGTTGGAACGTGGATAAGAGGAGAGGTCTGCTCTTTTCTCAAAAGAACAATAGAATAGTTTCACAACATTTCAAGAGGGAATATTATACAGACTATTTTATTACAGTATGAATTTATTTAGTGGTGGGGGCACTTGTTTTGCTAAAAATATCATAAAGTTTTATTGCTTCGTAAATCTGCTTTTGAACATCCTCTCTCCCCCCCAAAATAAAATAATCTCTTGCAATTTTGAGATTTAGCAACTCCCTTCATAAATTCTACACTCTACTGTTGTATTCATACGTTTTACTTCCCTTCTATTCCACTGAATCATTAAGGTGATTTACCAGCAAAAATGATTATTCCAGCTCATTGACTAAGACAATTTCATTAAAGAAAGTCAATTGTTTTCTAAACTTGGTATTTAGCAATACTGAACACTTGTGCAATTTTGTTCAAATTACTTGAGACAAATTTATTAAATGGATTTTATGGCCCCTTTCAGTATTCCAAAATGGATATTAGGCACATATTTCGAAATTAGCCTGACCATGACTTATGCGATAAATAAGAATTTGGAATTACAAAATATGGTAAGGTCACCCTATCAAGAGACTTTATCCTACATGAAGGGCGCTATATAAATACATGTTCTTGTTGTACAAGTATGCAATCCCAGGTCACTGTTTCGCCCACGAAACATGGTCAATTCACTTTACAGTATATTCTGTAAAGCGCTTTGAGACATCCAGAAGAATGGATAAGGCGCTGTATCAAATGCAAGGATTATTATTATTATTATTACTGTGGAAAGGTGATCTAATTCCAAAGCTGGGTTTCCAACTTGCAATCTAGGGGTGACACACTTGCAGTTACTGAAAGGGGATCCGATTTGCAAATAGGCATCTTGTTGGTACTGGAAAGCCCTGTGGTTTAAACCCAGGACCAAACCCAGGCGAGGGGATGCTCCCCCTGCCCTGCTCAGGTTGACTGAGCATGCGCTCCAGCCACCTGGTCTATGGGTCAAGCAGCTCAAGGCTTTGGACCGGGCACGTGATCACAGCCCAGGGCCGGTGCTGAGGGGGGGGGGAGATCACGTGACCCGACCACCAAGCGGCGCAGAAAGTGAGTGAGGGGCGGGGCCTGTGGCGCGCGCGCGGCCAATCAATCAGCGGCGTCTCGAGGCCCCGCGCGAGCCGTAACGTGCGATTGTGCGCGCGCCCGCGGCCGCCCCGCCCCCCCTCCCCCCTCGTCGCCGCCGCCGCCGCCGCCGAGCGGAGCAGGAAAGATGGCGGACGAGGAGGTTGATGCAGACATTAGAAACCTGACGGATAACCTGCGGGAGCTGGGCGACGAGTTACTGGAGCTCGGGGTGTCCGTGCAGTCGTCCGGGGATTACTGCCAGCGCTTCTGTCAGGTCAGGGAGGGGCGGAGGGATACGGTGTGAGGAGGAGGAGAAGAAGAGGATGAGGAGGATGAGGAGGGAGGGGAGGGGGGGGGGAAGAGTCTTTTAATAACGGAGCCTCTCCTCCTTTTAAGGGGTGTGTGTGTGTGTGTGTGTGGAGCTCGCGGCTCTGTTCGTCGCTCGCTCTCTCTCTCTCTCTCTCTCGCTCCTTTGTTAATTACAACGGCTTTTGTGGAGCCGTCCCCCCCGCCCCCCCCCGGCCTCCCCCCCTCCTCAGCCTCCCCCCCCCTCCCTCACAACTGCTCCCGCTCAGCCCACCCGCCCCAGTCTCCGCTCTCTCTCTCTCTCCCCCCCACGAAGACACCCCCATCGCCGCTATTCCCCCCCCACCTCCACACACACACACCCCCCCACACCCCCACACAACACGCCCGCGCTTCTCCCGTCTTTTGTTTTCTTGGCGGCGGCGGCTGTGGCGGCGACGACGGGGCCCCTCCGTGATGCGCGCTGCGCAATGTCTTAAATTGCTATTGAAGCGGGAGGGAGGGAGGCGGGAGGGAGGGAGGGAGGGAAGCGGTGCTGCGAGCGGCAGGACTGTAAATACGGAGAGGGGGGAGGGAGGGGCCCCTCTCTCACACACACACAGACCGTACAGCTGATTCCCTCCTGGAGTCCCGAGCCAGGACGTCCCCCTTCTTTGGTTGGTTGGCTTTTTTTTTTCCTCCCCCCTCTCTCTCTCTCTCTCTCTCTCTCTCGGGCTTGTGTTGTGTGTGTGTGTGTAAAAAAAAGATCATCAGATTGACACCCAATTCCTTGCTGTCACCTCACTCTCCCGTGAGTATACTTCGAGGGTTTTTTTTTCCCGGTTGCGTGGAGGTCTCGGGGCTTCCTTTCGTGGTCCAGGGTTTTGGATGCTGGGGCCTGTCGTGGTTGCAGAAGCTTTCAAAGAACTTTTAGTTTTCTTTCAGTGTTTGGCTCGTGGGCTTTTGACATTGTCACTAATATTGCAGTGTGTTCCTGGTGAACTATTGCCGCATTCCTGATGGGACTCAGAAATCCCAAGAATAAGCATGCAAATCGTTTAAATTAATATATTTGCACACTTGTTTTTTTTTTTAACCCGGTTATCTGATTCTCCAGTTTGGTTACCATTCTCGATTCAATTTGCGTTATATTTTCTTTTTATAAAAATAAATGCATTTCTTCTCAAAACAGCTACCTTTTTCTGAATAGTGATAAACCTGCATCATAGCAACCAAGCATCAGACACAGGAAGAGTTATTTGTCAGAGATAACATTCATTGCTCGTGTCAAGCTGCTGAGTAAACTTTTTAGGATTGCAAGAAGGGTTTTGGTGAGGATTAGCCCTTTGGCCCTTTTGATTTAATCCCTCCAGAAAACCTTTATCTTGTTTTATCATTACAATACATGTATAGTATGTAAGTTGGCCTCAACATTTGATTACCCTCCGTATGTCTGATGCTTTGAAAAAAACGTGAACTACGTTTCCAGTCTTGGTACATCTGAAAGGAGTGTTCTGTGTATATTTTCTTTATTCCATTTTGTATTATATAAGGCCCCTTGAGATGGATCTTTTTGAGGTAAAAATGTCCTAGTTTCCTGATTGGTCCTCGTAGTTTATTTCACTGACACTGGAGATCAACCACTTCATTCTACTTTGGACTCCCTGTGGGGTTTGAAATGTGCTTCCTTCACAGTGACCAGAGGTGTACTGTTGGAAGATTAATTGTGTTTAACTTTCACTCATGGGTCCTTTAATGTTGCAGTGCCACAAAGAAAACAATTCATTTAATTTTGAAATGAAAGGTCATTATATTTGCAATTGCGATATCTAGATGCTGACATAAATCCTATATGTAATATAAGATATATTGAAGAACAGGGCAATAGATGGGCAATAAGCAATAATAATTGGACTCTTAAGCATATGCTTAATAATAATTATATCGTTCTTAGTAATATTTGGTTTAGAATTATGTAAGAGCTTCAGATTTTTTCTTTCCAGATTGTAATCATATTTTACAGAGCAATTTTGGATGTAACTTTGCAATTTATTTTATCAAATGTTAATTAACTATTTTATCCACTGAACTCTACCCAGTGTGCATCATATTAATCTTTTGTTTAGCAATTTCAAGTCAATAAAACTGTTCTTCGGGAATTAATACCTAATATTAGGCCATTGTAAATTGTACTGCGTTAGTATGCATAAAGGAAACTATTTACCACGTGTAATATGTGCGTTTTCTGGGATGATGTTATAAAACCATAATTTAATTTGGGAATGATGAACTGTGTGAAGGAAGCTCATATTTGTGAATCCTTGCAATTGGTAAATGCAAAATAATCATTGCACTGGGCAGTATATTCTGAGAAACGCTTTGGAATGTCTTCCTGATGTGAAAGACGCTATTAAAAGAAAGTAAGGATTATTATTATATAGTGTCCTTCATGTTGGGAGGAAGTCTCAAAGCCCTTAAAAGAATTTTAAATTTTAAGTATAGTGAATGTGCATTTTGTAGGCAAATGTCAAAACAGGTAATAATAATAAAAAATAGTCCTTTATTTGATATAGTACATTATCACATTGTCAGTGTCTCAAAGCACAAACAAAATTTACTAAGTGTGGTGACTAATTTACACAAAGTAATGTTTCACTAACAGTCATAAAATGAATGTCCAATTTTATTAAGGGGGATTGTTGTGCAGGACACCAGGAGAAATCCCCTTCTCTTTTCAAATGATGACTTGGGATCTTTAATGACCATGAACAGCCGAACAGGATCTTGGCTTACTATCTCATCTGAAGGACAGTACTTCTGACAATGCAACACTCTGCTAGTACTGCACTTGAGTTAAACAATTCAGTTTAAACTATGAGCTCTAAAGTTCCAATGTGGGGCTTGATCCCACAACTTTCTGATTCAGGGACAAGTGATGGAATTATGCATCGTAATTCCTTACCCCTATTTGAGTACAGTTTATTGAATAATTTTGCCTAAAAGTGCAAGTCGAGTGGTAAAAGTGTGATGTTCTGAAGGTTATACCAAGCTCAATGGCATGTTTATATCACACATGTATGTACCCTTTTTTATTGAATGATTTGCTGTATACAAAATAGTGGTACCACATTAGATGAGTCCCAATCACTTTATTACTATAATCTATATACTGATTTATCTCTAATTCTGCCATCAAAGAAATCTGATACTTTGCACAGTTACTGATCATTGACTCTGACAAGTTGCATGGTTTTGTGTACTTTCAGATCCAATGTTATGATTATTATCTTGCATCATAAAATTGTTTGAACTTTACTTGCCAGTTGCTGATTTAATCATATTAATCTTTACATTTGATGTAGCGCCCATCACGTTGTTGATGTCTCAAAGTGCTTAACAGAATTTCCTGTCTAGTATAGTGAATATTTGTAGGCATACACAGGAGCCATTTTGCGCTGTGTAATGTCCCACAAGAGGCCATGAAGTGATTTACCAATTTTATTTGGGGGAATGTTGGCAAGGACTCCGAGAAACTCCATTCTCTTTTCAAATAATGCCATCGTTCAACTTGCCTGAACAGACATAGTTGGGTCCTCAGTTTAATGTCTTTAGTTTGATCAGCCAGATGTCTGACACATGTGGAAACACATCACCATGCTTAAGAATAACCAAACCAAATTCCGTGCATCCCATATTTATATATATATATACCTATATATATATATGGAAATTCCAGAGAGATTTGTTGGGATGGAATGCTCACCCTCTCTCCCTGGGGAGATGCATCCTGCTTGTCTCATTCAGGAAAGCATTAGGTGCAGGTTTGCAAGAGCAAAGGTGTGGGGACCACAGAGTGTAAGTTGGGTACTGCAAGAATCTAACAAGCTAGGACCACACTACCTGTTAGGGCTTTGGCTTCCAGGGTTAACAGGAGCTGAGCGCGAGGAATCTCTTGACAATAATGCACACGTCTCATGCATTGGCATGTCAGTCTAGATTGTACAAGTTCAAAGTCTTGACTTTGGGCTTGAAACCCTGCTACAAACTGGATAAAATTGACAGTTAAATTGGCAAGTAAACCAAATACTTAGCTAATATTTATACTCCAATGCCTTTTGCAAGATACAAAGCAGTAACTGAATCTCAAGGTTGTGAGGATATTGAAAATCAAGCTTCGCTCTTGTGGTTTATTATGCCAGAACTAGTCGATTTGGTTTCTGCTCTGTGTCTCTGAGCTGGCTAACTATTATTCTTTTGCTCTTGACTTTATTGCACAGCCTTAAATGCTCTTGTTATTTTACAATTTTTTTAAAAAAAACTTAAGATGACCTATCTTATGAAGAAATACCTTGGAGTGAGTTTGAATTACTACCTTAATCTTGCTGTTCACAAACTACAATATTTGAGCTATGCTCTTGTGGTTTTAAGATTTCATAAGAACCTTAGAATGAATTATTGTCTGGAACTCACTGCTGGCCATCTAATATACTTGTCTGATCCCCATGTGCAATTCAGAAAAGCCTAGTCTTTTTTCTCAGTCTAGCAAGTATGGACCTAGTAAATGTTCTACACCTTTTGATCTGTGTGTGTTTGCATAGATATATGTGCAAGTATAGAGATACTGCTTTTTAAATGCTGAATGTAGTTCAGAGCAGTTTAATGTAGAGATCTAGGATTAATTCTTTTCACATGTTGTGGTGTTTGCTGAAGACCATTACCTACATTAGAAATGGCCAACTGGCGGTCCACTCCCTGCCTATGTTACTACTATTTTATGCAAGTGTAATGCAGCCCACATTCGGCCTGTGCGCCACAAGTTAGTCATCCTTGATGTACAATTTCAGGCCCAAACTGAATTTTGTCAGGGCTAAAAGATCATTGTCCTTAATCTAACTGTTCGTTAGGTTGTATGTATGTAGTGCTGTTTTAACTGGGTTTTTTATCAATTAGTCTAAAGTATTGTACTATTGCTCTTACTGGAGACTTTGG